ATCTATTTAGGTGTATGTGTTTCTATGTGTTTGTACATGTACATAGGTGCCTGCCTTGTCGAAGCCAGAATAGGGCATTATATCTTTGGATCTGAAGTTTAGGAACCAAATTCTTGTCCTCTGCAGAGTTCTGTCCTTTCCAAGAGTAGCAAGAGCTTTTAACTTCGAATTGAATTTACAGAGATCCTTCTGCTTCTGTCTCTTGACTGCTAGGATTAAAGGAGTGTGCACTATGCTCAATAACTTCTTAGATTTATTTATTTTTTTGTGTAGGAGTATTTTGGTTGCATATGTGTATGTAAGTGCATGGGACTCTTTTCATACATCCATGGTTTTGGCTAACCCTTTCTCACCTTCGCTCCCCCATCCTTGCTTAAATTTACATGCCCACTATTCTCTTTTCTACCTGTATTGTATATATGTTATACGATTCTGCCAAACCTGTCTCCTGTGGACTGCTTTTTAGTTACCTGGCCTCTACATACACTCCCATGTAAACACACACACACACACACACACACACACACACACACACACACACACACAACTACTTTTTCATTAATCATTTACAATTAACTTTTCCTGCATCAATTTAATTTAAAACTTATGTGCTATGTTTAAATATACCATAAAATTTAGAAACTAGGATATGTATCTCAGAGAGAACCTGCAGTATTTGTCTTTCTGAGCCTGGGCTACCTCTGTTAATATATTTTCCACTTTCCTGCAAATCTAATTAATAGTTTCCTTTTTCTTTGTGACTTAATAAAATTCCATTGTGTATATGAATCACATTTTCATTACCCATTTATCATGGACACATTCCCCAACATTCTCCTTTCTTCGAATTCTTTCCAGCTATTGTTCATTCTAACTGGAGTGAATTGGAATCTCTAGGTAATTTTAATTTGTGTTTTCCTGCCCCCGAGGGCTTAACAGTTTTTAAGAGCACGTGTTGTAGATCCTGTGTGCCATCTGACCCATTTATAACTCTGTTTGTCCTTGAGCAAGTTTTTTGTCCCTGAATATCGGTGTGGTTTTTTTTTTTCCATCTTTAAAATGGAGAGATAGCTCAGAGGTTAAGAGCACTGACTGCTCTTCCAGAGTCCCAGTAACCACATGGTGGCTTACAACCATTCATAATGGTGCCCTTTTCTGGCATGCAAACATACATGGAGGCAGGATGTTGTATTCATAATAAATAAATAAATAAATCTTTTAAAAAATGGGGGAGTCATTGAAGCTACTTATGTTAAAAAGACTGAGTGAAACAATCATATATATTTACAGTAAAACTTTAGAATGTTGTCACTTGGTGATACATTCTTTCAATCCAAGAAAGGAGGCAGGCTGGTGGATCTCTTAAGAGTTTACAAAGTGAGTTCTAGTTCTGCTAAGGCTGCATAGTGAGAACCTGTCTCAAAAAAGGAAAAGAGGGAAAATTGCTCAGCTGTTAAGAGTATTGGCTATTCGTAAGAGGACCTGGGTTCCATTCCTCGCATACACATGATGCACAACTGTCTGTAACGCACAGACATGCATACAGACAAAACACTCATACACATAACATAAATCTAAAAAAGCAAAGACCTTTGTATTAGTGAAAATTTAAATATTACTGGGACATTATTGACTCATCTCCATTATAGCCCTGGTTTTTTAAATGGGTAAGTTTAAGAAATGTTGAGTGAGCCGGGCGGTGGTGGCACACGCCTTTAATCCTAGCACTCGGGAGGCAGGCGGATCACTGTGAGTTTGAGGCCGGGCTGGACCGACAGCCTCCAAAAGAATACAGAGAAACCCTGTCTCGTAAAAAAAAACCAAAAAAAAAAAAATTGTTGAGTGAGAGAAAGTGAGGGTTGTATTAGACAGACTGGGAGTGGAGAGTTTTTCCTATGTCTTCACTGCTTTTACAGGCATTTTTGTTTGTTTCTGTGAATCAAGCTATGAAAAAATAAATGGTACCAATAGAGATTATTGAAATCCATGCCCATAGTTTAGAATAGCTGTTCTCAAATGTGGAGTGTGGTCTTCAGAGCTGCACCTTTGGTGTGATATCTAACTGTTAACTCCTGAAAGTAGTTACTGGGTGAGCTGGCCTGTACAGATTATTTGACTTTCCAGCAACTGGGCTAGTTTGTATCATTTGATTTTTTTTTTAAAGGTTCTCAGTTAATCTATTAAGACAAGATTTTATATTAGGTGCTGGTAGCACATGCTTTTAATCCCAGCACAGGGGAGGCAGAGGCAGGTGGATCTCTTGAGTTCAAGGCCAGCCTGATCCACAGAGTTCCAGGACAGCCAGGGCTACACAGAGAAACACTATCTTGAAAAACCAACCAAACAAAAAAACTAGGTTTTACTTACTTTTTTTTTCTCTTTTCAGTTCTTTTCTCCTTCCCTTTCTCTCTTCCTTGATTGACTCCTTGATTCCGGAAATAGTCTTAGCTCTGCACCAATTTGAAAAGGGAATATCTTTTAAAAAATCTAATGTGATTTTTACAAATATACATTCATATAGTATGGAATGAACATGCTTTAAGAAAGTTTAAACCCATACAGCATTGTTCAGTTTTCAAATGTTAACCTTTTTAAGTCTTAAGAACTCTTAGTAAATAAAATAAACGAACAAACAATTTTTACTGGTAGTAAACAAAGTTATATGACATTTTCCCAGTTAACACAAACTCCATTATTACACAAACTTAGAGAAAGTAAAGAACAAGAGTATTTTCTGCCAGGCCTGGTTCCATTTCCACATTTGCTGTTTTAATGTCTAAATTTTGAGGTAGAATATTCTATGTCTGAAACAAGTAATAAATAGAATTTAAGTATGGGCCAAGGTTAAAAGACAATTAGTGCTAGATAAACTGTCTCAAGGAAACAAAAATGTATTTTCATAATCTCTTGGATTTTTAGTTATTTTTGAAAAGGCTGACACAAGCAACTCCATCTTGTTGGCTTGTTTTCAAAGCTTATGTATGTCTCTTGGGAAGTTCTGATAATTTTTTAGTACAGTTGTTCTCAACCTTAGGTCTCGACTCCTTGGTGAGGGGTGTCATATGACCCTTTCACAGGGGCCACCTAAGACCATTTCATAACAGTGGCAAAATTAACAGTTATGAAGTAGCAACAAAAATAATTTTATGGTTGGGAGTCACCACAGCATGAGGAGCTTATTAAAGGGTCACAGCATTAGGAAGATTGAGAACCACTGCTTTACAATGTGGCTGTGTGAGTGTGTGTGTACACTAGCATTTGTGCAAGTGTACACGTGTGTAAGGTAAGAAAGATGGGGTGGAGTCAGTTTTTAATTAGGTTGCTCAGGTTATTATTGAACTCTCAGATTCAAGTTATTCTCCTGCATCAGCTTCCTTATTAGCTGGGTTTACATGTGCTTTCCCACCATGTCTAGCTAGAATGAGAAAATTTGTTTACATTTTCATTTTCTGTCAGAATGATTGTATAGATAATGTGGTTTGTGCACTACATAGTTCTTGGGGACGGTTACACCTTGGTCTTTGCATATGGTGTTTCCTGGAATTTGTGTGTTATAAATCATAAGTATACACCAATTTGAGCCTTTAAGGATTTGTTTTGATTTTGTTTGTCAGTTTGGTGATAGGGTCTTGCTATGTGGTTCAGTCTGGCTATGAACTTTGGATCCTTCTGCCTCTCAAGTTTTAGGACTTCCAATATCTGCCATCGTGTCCAGCATAAATCGTGTCATTTATTTTTAAAGATCTTTTGTTTTCAAAAAAGATTTTATTTTTATATGTATTTCTCTGTGTGAATATGTGTTTATGAGTGAAGGAGCTTTGGGAGCTAGAAGTATTTTATTACCCTTGGAACTGGAGTTACAGGCATTTGCATGTTTCCCTTGATATGGGTGCTGGAAATTATACGCAGGTTCTCTGGAAGTGTAGTCTGTGTTTATAACTGCTGAGCCATCTCTCCAGCCCAGATCATATCATTTGTGATGTATATGTATCTCCAATTCCATGGCTGACATGTCAGAAGTTTGTTTTATTGACTTCTGTGTTTTTAATTCTTTAGCTTCCATATTACACCAACAGTTTATCCTTTCCTAATAGACATCGAAACACTAATAGGTAAAAGCATGGGTGCTTTTTCTCCCACAGTTGCATAAATTATATTAAGCACCAAACTAAAATTTATAGAATGATTATTTATTTCTTGCTATAATAAAATCACTAAGAATTTGATTTAGAACACATATGCCTTATAAGTTTAAAGCTCTAGAGGCAGGAATCTAGAAATCAGTTTCACTGGTTGAAAGGCAATGTTGACAGGACTGATTCTACAGACGTTGGGGGGAGAATCCATTATTATCGTTTTTACTTTTAGTATCCACCTTTCTTGGCACATCACTCACTCCAGTCTTCTGATTGTCTTTAGCTGCTTTGTTGTCTAATATGCATCTGAGCTAGAGAGGTGGTTCAGTGGTTAACATTGCTTGCTGCTCAGCCAGGAGGTGGTGGTGCACACCTTTGATTCCAGCACTCGGGAGGCAGAGGCAGGCAGATCTCTCTGAGTTGGAGACCAGCCTGGTCTACAAGAGCTAGTTCCAGGATAGCCTCCAAAGCCACAGAGAAACCCTGTCTCGAAACACACACACACACACACACACACACACACGCACGCACGCACGCACGCACGCGCACACACACACGCACACGCCTGCCTCTGACTCACTCTTCTTAAGAGGGTCCCTCTGAAAAATTCAGAAATAATTTACATCTCAAGTACCTTGATGACATCTTCCTCCCCTGACCTCCTTTTGATACAGGTTCTTTCTACATAGTCCTGACTGTCCTGGAACTCACTTTGCAGACCAGTCTGGCCTTGAACTCACAAGAGATCCTCCTGTTTCCCTAGTGCAGGGATTAAAGGCATGTGCTGCCGCCACCTGGCTCAGAATTTCCTTCTTTCCATTTTATACAACATTATTCAGTATTAACCCCCATTTCTTTTTTTAGTTGGTGTAATACGGTGTCCAGTTTGTCGTCAGGAATGCAGACAGATAGATCTTGTGGATAATTATTTTGTAAAAGACACATCTGAAGCTCCTAGCAGTTCTGATGAGAAGTCAGAACAGGTATGTTCCTCAATTTTTTCTGAATATTTTCCTTGTTACCAAAATGTAAATTATAGAAAGTATTTGGTTAAGTCATTTAGGCACTTAGGCTATATTTCCAGTTAGAAATAAATGATAACTCTTCCACACCCTTAGACTTGGTAAAGTAAGTTATTAAGATTTTACATAGACTTTGATGTTCTGAGTATTAGGTTTTTCCTATCTAAATGTTTTATTTATAAGGGAATTTTGTTGAAGATAAATGGATAACAAGATGGTTTTATTCTTTATATAAAGAATTAGTGTCTTAGAGAGCAAGTTATAAAGTTTTCACTTTATTTTGTGGCTATACATTTGGCAAATGTCACGTAGATCAGTGTTTATTTCTCTTTTAGGTTTGTACTAGTTGTGAAGACAATGCAAGTGCAGTTGGTTTTTGTGTAGAATGTGGAGAGTGGCTATGTAAGACATGCATTGAAGCACATCAAAGAGTAAAATTCACTAAAGATCATCTAATCAGGAAAAAAGAAGATGTCTCAGGTATGATACATATAGTTGCTGTTTTTTAAAAAAAAGTGTGTGTGTGTATACGTATATACATCCATGCCACAGTCTTTATTTGTGGAAGTCAGAGGACAACTTTGAGGAGTTAATTTTCTATAGCATTTGAGTCCCAGGTATTGAATTTTGGTATCAGGTTTCAGCATATGCTTTTATCACTGAGCTGTCTTGCTTGTCCTTATACATGTAGTTTTAATGTTCAGATTTAACCCTTGGGTAAAAAATAGAATGGTCGACTTATTTATGATGTTTGAATAAAAATAGGGAAAGTTAGTCAAAAGTTTTACTGTTTAAAAATGTTTTATTTTGTTACAGAGTCTGTTGGAGCATCTGGTCAGCGCCCTGTATTTTGTCCTGTACATAAACAAGAACAGCTGAAACTGTTTTGTGAAACATGTGATAGGCTGACATGTAGAGACTGCCAGCTATTGGAGCACAAAGAACATAGGTACAGAAGTCTTAATTGTTTACTGAAAAATATTAGAAATAGTACTGATAGTTTGTTTTTAAACAAATATTGGTTCCATAATTTTGTCTTGCAGTATTTAAGCCCAGATTTTATTTCCTGAAGTGATCTATACTTGATAATATAATGTCTTTCATGTTCATATCAATTACATTATGAATATTTGTTAGGTGTATCATTAATGTGCATTTGGGTTTATAAGATTGGAGTTAATGTTACTTCCTTGTTCCTATGGTTCAAATAAGCTTTTTCCAAATGTAATATATTTAGGTTGTATGGAGGTGACTGACAAATATTCTCACATATATGACTGATAACCATGTTTTAATATCTAAGCATACATACATTGGTTTCACGTTAGATGTATAACTTGCAGGAAAACTAGGGCTATAAACAAGTAAATACTGTTATACTTAGTATAGTTTTAATATATAACTTTTTATTAACCTTATTTAATTGAATCAGCAATACTCACACTTGTCTGTTTCATCTAAACTGTTTTAGAACTGTAATAGAAGTTTTAGTTAGGCATATAGCAAAATTTTTATAAGCTTTCTCACTTATCATGGCATCTATTTATTAGAAAAATTAGGCACATCTACAAACTAGAATTATCTAGGGTTTTTTTTAAAAAAGAGAAAGTAAGTTTTATCCGTTTACTATCAAGAAAGGAGTTTCTGCCCCAAACCTCAACTAACCTATATTGTTCATGCTATAACTGTTTGAAAGGTGGAAGAACCTGCTCTCAGGAGGCTGAAGTAATTTGTTTTTGTTTTTGTGTTTTTTTTTGTTTTTTTGTTTTTTTGTTTTTTGTTTTTTTACGAGACAGGGTTTTTCTGTATTGTTTTGGAGGCTGTTGGTCCAGCAAGGCCTCGAACTCACAGGGATCCACCTGCCTCTGCCTCCCGAGTGCTAGGATTAAAGGCGTGCGCCACCACCGCCTGGCTGGAGGCTGAAGTAATTTGTACAAGAAGTAGAGCCAGGATTTGAATACCAGTGTTTATACTCTAAATCTCTTGTTTACTTCTTCCCATATAGCGTAGATACTATAGAACATAGTGTATAATATAGAAGACAGCTTACATTTGATTATACAGAAATAATGTTTTTTTAAAAGAGAACTCTCAGTGTTACAGAGCATTTTCTAAATCTTTACAAATAACCATAGTTCATTATATTCAGAAATGTTTCATTCCTCCATCTGCAATGTGGCTGGTGTGTTACCTGAAGTGACTGATCTTCTGGAAGGTTTCACGTTTAGGGCCACATCACAGTATTGTCTTGTCCTCTAATTTTCCCAGATATTAAATTATCTTTGTCACAGCCTCAGCCAGATGCTTTGATTTCTCAGACTTCTTTCATAGTATTTAAATTTTTATTATATTTAATTATTTGGGGGAGGGGAATGCCAAAGCTCAGTGTGGAAGTCAGGTATGATGAGTACTGCTTGCGCATTCCTGTAAAAAATACTTCCATTTTATAGGAAACTCTTACTGGATGCTTTTTTCCACATTAGAGTTTCTCTCAATACTTGAGCATGTGATAGTTATTCCTGGTTTCAGGATTAATTTATGTCCCTCAGCCACACAGTGTTGACTAATATCCATTACCAGCTAACTTTTTATCAAAAGATCTATATATTTTTTTGATATCTTTAAATCTTTATTCTTTTACATTTCATTTTACATTCTAACCACTGTTCTCCCTCCCATCCCTCACCCCGAATCCCCCTCAAATGTTCTATGTTGTCTCTCACTATCTAGTAATTTCCTTCTCCAAATTCTTTTTTTTTTTTTTTTTTAAATCTTTTTCCGAGACAGGGTTTCTCTGTGGCTTTGGAGACTGTCCTGGAACTAGCTCTTGTAGACCAGGTTTGGTCTCAGACTCACAGAGATCCGCCTGCCTCAGCCTCCCAAGTGCTGGGATCAAAGGCGTGCTCCACCACTGCCCAGCTCCTGCTCCAAAATTCTAATGCTTACTATTGGGTGCCACTTAACAGCCTTTGCCATAAGCTAGTCTGTATAAAAGTGTTGCCAGGTATTTTCAGAAATTACATGTAAGTGTGTATCATATATTAAAGTGTGGCCCAAGAGTATTGAGAGACTTCACTTTTTTGTATTTCAGACATAGTTTGATTTCCTCAGGCTTCATTAAAGTATGGGTTGTTTCAACTATTATTGCCCCCCTTTTTTTTTTTAGTTTGGTTTAATTTTTATGTCTTCCTCCTAATTTTTTTTTCTTTTTTGGCTTTTCGAGACAGCGTTTCTTCGTATTGTTTTGGAGTCTGTCCTGGAACTCTCTCTGTAGACCAGGCTGGTCTCAAACTCATAGAGATCCACCTGCCTCTGCCTCCCGAGTGCTGGGATTAAAGGCGTGTGCCACCAACGCCTGGCTCTAAGTTCTTATACTAAAGTAAAATACTATCAGTGAGCCTAATCTCTAGCATGTAGCTTCAAGAGTGTTTGAAGAAGGGTAAAGTTGTTTGTTCATTTTGTTTCTTGAGACAGGTCTTGTATATATATCGTCTGGGATGGCCTAGAACAGAGTATGTAGCCCATGCTGGCTTTGAACTTAAGATTCTTCTATGTTAGTTTTTGAAATGCTACAATTCTAGATGTGTACCACCTTGGGCAAGTATTTTTTGTGTATTCCTTATACCTCTTTTCTTGTCCTGGTTTTTTTATGAGGATATCCCAGACATCAGGAATGTGATGTGTACTACAAGATGGGCTAGAGGCTGTGTGTTATGTTAGTTTTTATGTTATTTTTCTAAATGACCCAGTATATGTGGTTCTGATTTACAAATGGACTGGCTTAGAATATTTTAAAAGCAGTTTGCACTCAGGAGAAGTAATACTTTGAATTTTGAATTGGGATTCTTTTCCAGGATAATATGTGATATGTAATGGATGGTATGATACTCTCTGTAGTAGGCAATTGCAAGGAGCTCTATTTTCTATTAGTTTTTAATGAGTAATTTTTAAGTTTAAAATTTTGTTGCTTGTGTGTGAGAGGGCTTGTGTGTGAACAGTCAGAGGGTGATGTTTCACGGCTGCTCTCTGTCCACCTGGTGTTGGAGACAAGGCCTCTTGCTTTGCCGCTGCACCGCATCTTCTGTGCTGTTGGCCTGGAGGTCTGTTGTCATTTCTGTCTCTGCCTATCTCAGGGTAGGAGTGTTGGGATTGTAGAAGAGTGCCACCACAACCGCCTTCTATTTTGTTTATTTTTTTAAAGGCTATTTATTTGCTTTTCAAGATGGGTTCTCTGTATATCCTGGCCATCCTGGAATTTGCTTTGTAGACCAGGCAGCCTTGTTTTGTAGACTCAGATGTGTCTCCTGAGTGCTGAGATTAAATGTAATTGCCACCACCGCCAGGCTCAAACCCAGCTTTTTTTTTTTTTTTTTTAATTTTTTGGGGGGGTTTGTTTTGTTTTTGTATTTCAAGACAGGGTTTCCTTGTATAGTTTTGGAGCCTATCCTGGAACTCTAGTAGATCAGGCTGGTCTCGAACTTACAGAGATCCTCCTGCCTCTGCCTCCCAAGTGCTGGGATTAAAGGCGTGCGCCACCACCTCCTGGCATCACCCCCCCCCCCCAGCTTTTACATGGGTTCTGGGCACTGAAATAAAGTTGTTGAGTTTGTATGGCAAACTCCCTAGCTTGCTGGAAGTTTTAATGATAGGTGCTAATGATAGTCCCATATGTCAAACAGACATTTTTCAAAATCAAAAGGTATCAAATAAATCCTGGGATTTTTTGGTTAGTTTTTAGAATAGGTGAGAAAAATAAATTTTCTTTTGTAAAATACCAATCTTCTAGGTTATTTCTAAGATTTCCAGCCATTTGGGCAGGCCTTTAGAAACTTTTGCTGGATTTTTTCAGTGAACCACTATTGAACACATATATTAAACACATCTTTTAAATCATTTTTAGCTTGGTCTCTGATAATATTATATGTTAATATAGTATATTATTATACTTGACCTGCATCTCTTAGCCAAATCATGACATAAGATTTGAAATTACCTAGTACATAATGAATATATTAACTATTAATTAGATCTTTTTTTATGTGAAGGCAAATTACAGTTGACTCTTTTTCTAGATAGAAATTTGTGATGGGGAACTATAGTGGGAGTGGGAAACCATAAGGAAGATCAGTCACTTAAGCATGACTGTTTGGGCTAAGACTATAAATTGAGGTGGTGGCATTACTTCTTTCAAATCTTACTGTTTGTTAGTTTCTCTGACCCATCCACTTTTTAAATAGACCATACTGGGGTTATTGTGCAGAGATTTATTGCCGCTAGCTTCCTTTACCAAAAAAAAAAAAGATTAGTAATCTGTTAAGTATATTATGCCTTAATAATTACCTCTGAATTTCGAGTAGTTATAGTGGTTTCTGTTTAGTATGTCAAGATTGTCTTTCAGATGTACTTCTATGCTTCTGCTTTATTTACTTGATTTTTTTCAAGATAGGGTTTCTCTGTGTAGATCACGATGAGTCTCAAACTCTGAGACGCCTGCCTTAATCATCTCCTGGGTGCTGGGATTAAAGGTGTAAGGTATTACCATCTGGCTATCTGTTTTATAATATTCAGTAGGTAGAGCGTTCACCAGTTAGATATGATATTCATCTTTGTAGTAATGCCCAGGTAAAGGAACTATAGCTTCATATTGAGTCTATTAAAGTCATTTATTTATAATCTTAATTTTATTACACATTGCTAATTCTTAGTCTAATTTTACTGTGTGTTAGGACTTAACTTTAATAGCTGTTAGGGTACTGGTGCTTTGGGTTTCCCTGTGAAATAGTTCAATGTCTTTTATGAACTACCTGACTTTTTTACCCACTCGTGTTTATATAGGTGGCCTGTGATCATATAGGTTTGAAATAATGTGGACCCACTTACACATATTTTTTATTTTTATCTTTTCAGATTAGTGACGTTCTGAAACAACTCTTTAGATAATGTGTGTAG